TGTATCTTCTAGACATGGAATTCGGCACTTTTAGAAAGGGCTTTTTAGTAGAAAATAGGTACAGTGGATAGGGTCAGTTTACCACCGTCCCATGAGCCAAGCAAACTCAGATTCCTCTGCCTCAGACTTCCAGGAGAATAACATCAGGGAATTGGTGAAATCCTGGATGATGTCACCAGATGGACTTTGATTCATAGTCATTCATGAAACATTGAACAACTATTGACATTCTGTTAAAGCTTATTGTTTGGGAAGTTCTGTCCCTGCCACCCTCCCTTTGTATTTTTTTAAGTAGAGATGGGATTTTGTCATGTTAGCCAGGCTGGTCTCAAACTCCTGACCTCAAGTGACCTGCCCGCCTTGACCTCCCAAAGTCCTGGGACTACAGGCATGAGCCACTGTGCCAGATCTACTGTCACTCTTTATATAAACTATAATCTCAGGAAATTACAGTCATGCCAGCAATGGTATTTAGCTACTCTTACTGGTAGGAGCCATTCAAAAAATCTAAGCATGAACCTCAGGGTTCAAACTTGATTTTTCTGAATTTGAGATATCAGATCCTCTAGCATCAAGGGAGAAATGGTAATTATTTCACAGCTTGTACACAGAATAGGAATTTACCCTGTTGCTGGGGTAATCTGTTCTATTCTATTTCTTTCTCTAGCTCATCTCTCATCACTAATCTCCTCGGGGATTGTCTCAGTTTTACCTTCTTATTGGCCTAAATCAGGTTTCTCAAACTTGATATATTGGGCCAAATAGTTGTGGATGTCTGTCCCGTGCATCATAGGATGTTTAGCAGCATTTCTGGCCTCTACCCACTAGATGCCAGAAATATTCCCCAGCACGACAACTAAAACTATCTGCAGACATCGTCAAATATCTTCTGGGTGCAAAGCCGTCTCTGGCTGAGAGCTGCTGGCCAAGACAAAGAACCTGGAACACACCAGCACTTCCGTGCAAAACTCATTTTAGAAATGTTCTTATTTGTTTTCAGGATACAAGCTGTAACATTCCCTTTGCTGCTTCTGGCAAATGTCTTAAATTAGAAGGTCAGAGAAGATGATTCTAGGTAACCACCTGGCCAAATCTACCTGTGACAAAAGGAAGGTTTGAGCCCGCTTTCTGAATTAATGCAGAAACAAAACAAAATAAAACACAAAAATGTAATCTCTGAACTGAATTAATTATTAGGGCACATGTGGTTTTTGGGTCTCTATTTTACAGGAAAATTGGTTCCTTTTCCATTTGCCATGGCCAGGCATGTGCTGGCTGCACAGGTGGAAGTGACGAAGAGAGAGTTTCGAGAGAGGTGAATGTTTGTTAGGATTCTGTTTCTCAAGCTTTGCCAGCGAGTAAGGATCTTTTTTCTGGGTTTTGTAAGATTTTCAAAAACAGAACGATCCTGGTATTCTTGAATTGGTTCTTTTGACTCAGTGGCCGTATGAATGGAAAAGCCTGTCCTAAAAATTAAGGTCCATAGAACTAAAAAAAAAAAAACACAAAAAGCGAGCAAAAATATTGAGGCCCTATCTGACACAGCTCAACAAGACGAAATGAGGAAGTCCTTGGTTGTTACTGTTAATAGCCCAGCACATCAGAAAATGTTTGTTGTTGATCATGTAAATGATTGTGGTGAGGGAGGGAGGGCAGGGGGAATTAGGTTTCAGTGTTCTCTTAGGAGATTTTACAGTTGTAGTTACTCTTTCTAATTAACTGATCTAGGACTAGGTTTGGGGCGGTTAGATCCCTCAGGAGGGTCTTCTAACTTTGAACCAGAGGTTGTAAATCCTCTGGATTGATAGTGGAGAAGACAGAAGGAACTGCTTTTCTCTAGCTGCATGTTTTGATTGAGGAGAAGGAGACACATAATGGGTTAGAGGGGGAACTCACTGCCATGGTGAGGAGGTGTGGGATATGGTGGAGCATGAAGAACTATGACAGAAAATGCTGCGGAGGAGGAGGATGTGGGAGGAGATCCAGAGCATATGAAAGAAAAAAAGCAAAAAGAGAAATGACAAGATTAATAAGTAGGAAGCTTAATGGTGTGCGTCTTAGAAGAAGAGCTTTCTGAGCCAGGTACAGTGGCACGTGTTGGCAGCCCCAGCTTCTCGAGGCTGAGACAGGCGGATCTCTTGATCTAAGGAGTTCAAGACCAACCTGGGCAACATAGCAGGACGGTCTCTAAAAGAAGAAAGAAGAAAAGCTTCCTGAATGAAAGAGGTTAGAACCCTGGAGAACAAGGGGATCCTGACAACGTGACTACATGAGGACGAGAAGAAGGTCTTTTTTCTGAGGCTCATGTTAAATCCATGGGGAGCGTTAGTCCCCACCATGCTTGCCATTCATATAGTGTTCTGTGTTCCCAGCCTTTTCTCATGACACCTCACAATAGCCCAGGGAAATGAGCCAGAAATGAGCCCGTTTTACAGGTGAGAATAAGAAATTTGGAAGAAGCGGGACTTGTTCAAGTTTATAAAGGGAAATGCTGGTTTTCCTTAGTTCATTATAACACATGGCCACCTGGGCTCAGTAGATTCTCAGAGTAGATTTTATGACAATAAGATCTCAAAAAAATCATTAAAAATGGAATCAGGCAGGGTGTGGTGGTTCATGTCTGTAATCCCAGCACTTTGGGAGGCCGAGGAGAGAGAATCGCCTGAGGCCAGGAGTTTGAGACCAGCCTGGGCAACATAGTGAGACCTTGTCTTTAAAAAAAAAAAAAAAAAAAAATTAATTTATCTGGAGAAGAAGGAAGTTTGAGGGGAAACACTAAAAAGAAGAGGTATATTTTTAAGATTTAAGCAAATCTTTAATGGCAAATTTTACATTTCTCCATTCCATTTAAAATATTTTCCATGGCTTAGCTGAACCAGGCTGAAAGTGGATACCTGGAGTAGTGTGAAGTAGACAGGGCAATAAAGGAAGGGGAGACAACAGCCTTCTTTGTTTCTAAATGCTTGGAAAACAGGGCAAAAGTTAGTGGCACATTTCTTTACTGAACTGCAGACCCCAGCTTCAGGGCAGAGTTGTCTCTACAAAGCAGGGAGGGAAGGCGACAAGCAGAGCTTGGCCTCACCGCACTCTCTGGCTTTCAGATTACATTTAATGTAGAAGAAAGTTGAGCCTGTGCCTGAAATGGGCAAACCCAAAAGATGAAGCCACTGGGCCATGTAAGGGAGATAATGAGGTCTTGTGAAAATGTGATATTTTTGTTGTTGTTGAGACAGAGTCTTGCTCTGTCTCCCAGGCTAGAGTGCAATGGCACAATCTGCCTCCCGGGTTCAAGTGATTCTCCTGCCTCAGCCTCCTGAGTAGCTGGGATTACAGGCGCCCACCACCACACATGGCTCATTTTTGTATTTTTAGTAGAGATGGGGTTTCACCATGTTGGTCAGGCTGGTCTTGGACTCCTAACCTTGTGATCCATCTGCATCGACCTCCCAAAGTGCTGGGATTATAGGTGTGAGCTACCATACTTGGCCTGAAAATGTGCTAATTTTAACACTGTGTATCAGGAGGAGTTGGGGAAGGGGAGGAGCATCCTGCCAACTTTCTTCTGTCATGAAAAATGAAGAGGACCATGGCTGGTACTCCAAGCTGGAGCAATGCCCTTCTTTATGAATGCGTAAAAGACGCATATAGACTTGAGCAGGGAGGACCCAGGAGGCCTTTGAGGCTGGAGAGATTTAGTTTGAACTTGTGATTTGGGCATGGCTCCATTGCGGCATCCTCCAGAATGCTGGGCAAATTGCTGGCAGATCAGGGCCTTATAGATAGCACAGGGCACTGAGAAAGCATGGTGGTTTTGAGTGTGGGCTCTTGTCAGATAAACCTGGGTTTGAATGTGGACACTTCTTGGCTGTATGATTTTAGGCAAATACCTTACTTCTCTAAAGCTGTTTCTCTTATCTTTAAACTGGAAATAACAGTATATCAATCTCATAAGATTCCTGTGAAGATTAGTGAGATCATCTGTGAACTTTACACGCTGCTGCCTGGAACATTGTGAGCACTCAATAAATGGTGGTTATGAGGGTTATTTTATTTCTAAAGCCATACGTAGTTAAGTGTCATCATATGACAAATGGTAAGGGCAGCAGTCCTAAGGCATGGCCCTCCAGGCACTTGGGAGCCCACGACAAACAGCTGTCCCGAGAGCTCCCTGGGAGGAGTTAGCCAACATCTGATCCCCATTATACAGCCCTGTACCCCATTAGCCACCAAACTCCAGTATCCTATCTCATTCCCAAATGACCCGATAGACACAGTAACTGGTCCCATGTTGCAACACGATTGAGATTTTTGCATAAGAGTTCGAGTTAAACAGGTGTGAGCCATCTTATTCATTGGTTCCATAGCATTTGGCTATGTGAGTTTCCTATTCTCTTGACTTCCTTTTTCTCCAGTGCCCAGGACCAAAGAGTGGAAGCAGAAAGAAATGGCAGTGTCTAGAAGGGCCTGGGGAGAACCATCACATCTATATGCCTTCCACAGGAAGTGAGGCTGGAAGGGTATCAGGTTGGATTTGTTGACACTTTGATGATTCTGTAGGAGGCTTTGCCAATGTCTTATATTTTGAAATTCGTGCCAAGATGTAAGCAACAGATTTGGCAAGAAGAAGTATTCTAACCTGAAAAATGGGACAGATGAGAGTCGCTAGGAAAGAAGCACGACCAGATAGAAGGGAAAAGAAAAAACGGATGACGGGATAAAGGGGAAAGAAAGAAAAGTAGAAAAGGAAATTGAAGAGAATGAAATGTTCTGGTGCTGACAAAGCTTAAAAATTAGGAAATGATAATGATAATAATAATAATAGTTATAGAAAGTAGGAATGAGAAGGTTAGAAAGCCTCAAACAAAAAAGGAAGGAGGGGGTGTTGCAGCCATTATGTGATTGATGTGATGCATCTCCTTTCTTTCTTTCTTTCTTTCTTTCTTTCTTTCTTTCTTTCTTTCTTTCTTTCTTTCTTTTCTTTTCTTTTATCCATCTCCTTTCTTTATGGCTAAAGAAGAAAGAGAAAAAAGAAGAGAAATAGAGAATCCTGTGTGTCTGGACCTTTAGGTCTAGGGGATTGGACTATGGTCTATGAGACTCTGTCACAGCTAATAATCTATGAATTTATAAGTCATGTATATTCTCCAGATTCCTTATTTGGTTAAGACCTATTTGATTCAGTCATTGTGGTTTGTGTAACTTCCGATGAAAGCCATGTTGTGATGGATGACGCGAATGTGTTTGATTTTTCGCAGTTCTTGAAAAGTCAGGATCATAATGCCCTTCAAAGTTCTCAGTAGCTTATACAGTATGATCATGTTTTAAACATGCTGACCAGCCTTCAGGTATGTCCTGGGATTAACGCTGCTTTTGTGGAGATAAGAATCTAGGCTAGTACCAGGTCCTAGAACTTTGTGGCACTCATTTGGGTGGTTCCTCAGTTTCCTTGTTGTTCAGCTCTATGATATCTGTTTCCTTGGTGTCCAGGTTTTCCATTAAATACAGCATATCAGGAGAGACTCGAGGGCCCGCCACAATGTTGATCCCACTGATCTCTGAGGATGTTTCTGTGTCAACTAAAAGAGCTGGCTGAGAGCTCATGGGGTCTGGACTTAGGTTTCCCAGGGAGGTGTGGCTGGACTCCAGGAATTCCGGAAGGCTCCACGTTTTTAGAAAGGTATCACCAGGGTCTCCTTCACACTTGAATATGTTTCCCTCAGTGCTGGCTGAAACAGTCTGGGCACTGGGGCCTCTAGGAGGTGTCCCCTTCTCTAAAGGGGACAGGATGGATCTCACTGGGCCCTGCTGCTGCTCAGTCTTGCTTGGCTCAACCCCTGAAAACTCAGAGCTCAAGATGGAGGTAGTGGAGTCATGGTGGTAGCCGTCTGATGTGGACCCTAGCGCTTCGGCCGCTGTGACCAATACCTCAGGCACCGGTGGCATTTTGATGGGGGAGGTTCTCACACTGGACTGTGGGGTCAGGCTCTGTAAAGTGCTTGTCTGGCTGGTCTCCCTGATGGTGGACAGCTCTCCTATGCTGGAGTGCAGCATGGGGCTTCCTTCTGGGAAGGAGGATTTCTTCCAGGTGGGTGAGGCCCTGTGGGGATTTCTTGAGGGCACATCCAGTAGATCTCTGGCTGGGCTGAGGTCATCTCGGGGTAAGAACATGGAGCTGTCACTCGTCTGCCTCCTGTAGCTTCTTCTTCTGGGGCTGGAGGGGTGTTCGTGGGCACTCAGGAACCGCTTGACTCTTCCTATCATGGAATGCCGATGGCCATGCTTCTCATAATCCCACAGCCACTCCTCATCAGGAAAATCGGACCCAGACAGCCTGAAACACACAACGACAAGATCCAGGCAGAGTAGCTTCAGGGGCCTAGAGTCTCAAAGTTAAGAGATGAGTTTGGTATTTTTATCTTACAGCTTTTCAGATGAGAGCTTAGGGATTTGAGATAGTCTAGCAGAGATTCTCACACTTTTTGATCTCAAGCCCCATTTAAACTCTTAAAAATTATTGCATATACCAGAGATTGGCTTATATGGATTATATCTGTTACTCTCTACTGTATTTAAAAGTATAACTGGGGAATGTCTGAAACACAAGCCTGTATAAGCACACATTCCATTGACTGCGAAGTGATGACATCATCAGATATCTTGTAGCCTCTGGAAAATTCCACTGAACATGCTTGATAGAATGAGAATGAAAAAGGCAAATAACATGTTATGCGATTATGAAAACATTTTTGACCTTCAGGATTCTCTGGAGGGTCCTTAGGAATCCCCAGATGTCCCTAAATCACACCTTGAGAATCACTGATCTAGAGAGTTAGACATTAAAAAATTATCTGTCTCAAAAAAAAAAAAAAAATTATCTCTCTCTCTCTCTCTCTCTCTATCTATCTATCTATCATCTAGTATATATTCTTTTTCCCTTAGTACAGATGAATTAAGGGCACGTTTCCTTAGGACCCATCAAACCCCCATTAACGATGGATCATAGGTAAATTCATGAGAGTGCAATGACCAGCTCACATTTATTGACTATATGCTAAGGTCCAGCTAAGCACCTCCTATGCATTGATTCATTCAGTTATCACAATAATTAGATGAGTTGGTATTGGTGTTATTATTTACACTTTACAAATGAGGAAACTGAGGGCTGGAGAGATTCACTAAACATAAGTAGCTAGTGAGAGCAAATTCGGAACTCTGGCTCCAAGCCCTGGCTCTTAATCACTTTGGTGGAAAGCCTGCTGCACGTGGGTCAAGGGATGAGCTAGAGTCCAGGGCAGAATAGTGAGTAAAGCACAGTCCTTGCACAGAGGTAATTCGTAAACATTCCTGATAAGTCTTTGCATTTATGTCTGTACAATTAGGGTTAAAAAAAGAGAAATGGGGATCTTGTGGAAATAATATATTCATCCTGTTAGGGTGAACTCGCATCGTGATTGGGCTCCCCTAGTGATTAAGTTTGATGAATTGTCTACCAAGAATTTCCTGCTGAATTTTTACCATTTCAAAAATAAAACAAATAATTCTACCATTTAATTAATTAATTAAAGACAGAGTCTTACGCTTTCGCCCAGGCTGGAGTATAGTGGTGTGATCTTGGCTCACTGCAACCTCTGCCTCCCAGGTTCAAGCAACTCTCATGCCTCAGCCTCCCCAGTAGCTAGGATTACAGGTGCATGCCACCACGCCCAGCTAATTTTTGTATTTTTAGTAGAGACTGAGTTTCACCATGTTGGCCAGGCTGGTCTCGAACTCCTGTCCTCAAATGATACACCCATCTCAGCCTCCTAAAGTGCTGGGTTTACAGGCGTGAGCCACCACGCTCGGCCAATTCTACCATTTTAAAGCTCCTTTAGGACTGACATAAAATGAAAAATTAAGATGACAACAAGCCGGTTTGGTAGTTTGGTCTACTCTGGCTTCAGATTACATAGTTTTTTGTCACACATCTCTGTGGACTTACAACCTAAATGAGGTTTGAAGAACGACTGAAATCCTTGTGCTTGAACTACGAATGCTCATCATGCTAGCTCTGCGAGCAACAGTAACCAGCTAGTCCCAGTCCAGTGTTGGTGTCGACATCCCTGGTGACAAGATGCTTTACCTATCCCAGTGCATTTTATGTGACATAAAGGAAAACATTGGGACAGTATAATGTTGGTGTAACTTGAAAGGGCAAAGCAAACAGCCAAAGAAAATGTCGTTCCTCGGCAAGACTTGGGTTGCAACCAGAGGAGATACAAGGCCTAAAAAACCATTAAAAGTAGGGAGTATGAGCTAGTGTGGTGAAGACCCTGGAGACAGGTGGTTCCTAGCATTGATGGCTAATGGAAGGAGTGGACCGTTTACCTCTGATGCCTTTCAGAATATAACACGTCTACAGACTCAGGGCTCTCCTGCATAGAGCTGGACACACTAGAAGAGTCCTCTGGAGCCACTGTTCAATCTGTGCCAGTCAAAGAAAGAGTTCCCTACCACCTTCCAGACACTTCACAGAAAGACAGCAAGAGAATGAGCCTGGGAAGAACAGCAGGCTGGACGATGAATGCAGTCAGCAGTGGGAGGAAGCAACAGATAGAGAGCAAGTTTCACAAACAGCAGAAAAGTACTTTTAAAAAAGGACCTCTTTTAAAGTCCAGTTGTCCATGATTTCAGAATTTTGGCTAATCTAATTTTTATGTCTAAGCCCTAACTTGATAGTATGCATTAATTTCATTAAAAAATACAGAGAACTGGTGAAAATATATGAGACAATAAACTATTTTTTTTAAATTAAAAAAAAGAGAAAATGTCGTTCCTCATGTTTATGAATAAAATATGGGTGACTGAGATGATTAACTGGCTGAATGTCCCGGGACGGTGTTTGATTACAGCATTGTGCTGTTTTTCTAAAGCCCCAGCAGCGCCCTTGGCTACCAGATAGCCTTCTGACCCACCCTCCACTGTGCGAGGCTCAGATTCTATTACGTTGACTTGAGAAATGCAGACTCATGCTTCAGTGGCCTTGGTGACCCTGCTGGGTGGATTGCATTTGGTCAGCTCTCCAGTCATACTCCACAGGCACCCACTTAGTTAGGGAGGAGGACACCAGAGGAACCACAAGCGCACTTGTTCACTAACACTGCCACACCGGATATGCTCTGGGAATCAAGGACAATCTGACCATCTCTGTATAGGACAGGCATCTGTCTTCCATTTGTGATCTCAACTATTTATTTGGGATTTTTTTTTTAACTACCTCTAAAGCATGCAATCTTGTAAGAAGGACAATCTTCTAGGAAAAAAGTTTGTATTATTAACATCTCAAAACTTTGTGACTCAAAAGACAAAAACTTTATGTCCTGGTGTAGGGCATATGCATTATACCTTCAACTACAGCAAGAGGTGTAAGCCCCTGGGTCATAGATGGGGGAAAATGGACAAGTTGCAACAAGCAAGCTGCAACATGTCTAGTGTTCTCGCTAACATCCTACTGATTCATGACTGACATTGGGTAGGTCTGCCAGGAAGACTCTACTGTGCCTTCCTGCCTCATAAGACTGTGGAGTGGATGCATGAGATTTCTCTGTTTATTTACCTGACTACACTTATTGAGCATCTATCATGAACAATGTGCTGTATTAGCAAAAAAACTGCAAAAGCAAGCTTTTGAGCTGGGCTTTGACACTGAGTGGGAATTGGATCGATAGAAAAGGGACAGAACATTCCAGGTGAACAAGTGACTTGAACAAATAAAGCAGCAGGGAAGTTTAGGATGTTTTTGAGAAATAGGGGATACTTGAATCTGTGTGAAACACACAGAAAAGTGTCAGGCATGGGCTGGAAAGATGTCCTTGGACTGTGCCATGAAGAGTTGTATACTAGGTTGCGGGATGTGGACTTTATCCTGGAGACAGAGGGCAGCTGTGGATTGTCGTTGACAATGGAGGGCATTGCTAGGGTTATGTGGTGTTGCCAGGGGTGTGCATGCTGGAAGGCTATACAAAAAGCAACGCTGATGACTGCTTTGGCTAAGAAACATGACTTGAAAACTTTTCACTCCTTTAGTTTGAAACAGGGTCTTTGGAAGAACACTTGGTGATCTGTGCTCTGGGAGTAGTTTTATGTATCTCATGCTGAGTGATGAATGATGCCCTCCAGGTCTTAATGCTGTAACAGAGCAGTAGGAAAACTTCCCAGCATGACAAACCTAATGACATTTCTTCTAAATGCTTACATGGAAGATCTCATTGCCAACATACAATGTTCATCTCCTTTCTCTGACAGCCACCATTCCCAATATGACAGCAGAAGCTGTGGTTTAAGAACAAAATTGTTTAAAATCGAATTCTTGTTTATTTATTTAGAGACAAGGTCTCACTCTGTGACCCAGGCTGGAGTGCAGTGGCACAATCATGGCTCAGTGTAGCCTTGACATCTTGGACTTAAGCGATCGTCCCATCTTAGCCTCCCAAGTAGCTAGGACTGTGGGTGTGCACACCATCCCTGGCCAATTTTTTATTTTTGGTAGAGATGGGGGTCTCCCTATGTTTTTCAGTCTGGTCTTGAACTCCTGGCCGCAAGTGTTCCTCTCGTCTTAGCTTCCCAAAGTGTTGGGATTACAGGTGAGAGCCACCACACTCAGCCTTAGAATGGTTTGAAAGGCTATTTCCCAAATGGGAGGCTGGGGTGTAAATTTTAGGTTCTTTTGTGCTTTTTTTTTCCTGTTCCTTTTTAGATTTTTAAAGTATCCTCTTAGTCTAGGGTTAGTACAATCCTGAGCTCAATATAATATCATTTAACCAACTGATAGCAGAAATATTATATGATAGAACAAAAGTACCCTTATTATATTCCTGTATATTAGAGACAGTCAGCTGAAAAAGCTAGGTTTTATATTCTAGAACTCACTTGGACTGAACAAGGCAGGTAATTAGAGATAGGAGGGCATTCATGGAAAGTGTCATGCGGCCATCAGTTTCCAGGGATGAAATTTGAGAACCGTCTCTGTGGTGGGAAAAATAATTTATTTTGAGAGCTTGCAGAGCCAGGATTGCTGCCGTCTAGGCTGACATCAACCAGCTGTGTGACCTTTGGGGACTCATTTAACCTCTTGGAACTTAGCATTATCCTTGATAAGCTGGTGATAATAATCATTTACTTGCCTTTTAGGTTGTTTGGCAGTTCAAAGACATTTGTAGGAATGCTTTCAAAGTAGAAGATGTAAAAAGGACTCTGTCCATGACTGGCAAACTTTCAGAGGTGGTTTCCAAGTCATCACTGACTTCTCGTACAGGTTTGGAGGAGATGATAATGTGTGTGTGAAGGTCCCTCTCT